GGCACTTATTCACAGCTATCATATCTTACTGACATGGGACTTATTCACAGCTATCATATCTTATTGACATGGTACTTATTCACAGCTATCATATCTTATTGACATGGTACTTATTCACAGCTATCATATCTTACTGACATGGTACTTATTCACAGCTATCATATCTTATTGACATGGCACTTATTCAAACTATCATATCTTATTGATATACCATTAACTTCCAGCTAACAATTTATAGCTATCATATCTACCTTATTGATATAGCATTAATTTATTATCAACATATCAGATATACTCTACTATGTTTTACTAACTCACGAATTCTTCCTAATTATCTAACAATCATCGCCCTGCTCACCTCACTTTTATCCCAACCTCAACTTACTAATATTCAACCTCCAATTCAAACACAAGGATAAATCGCTCGACGTGACTCGACGTGAGGAATATGCAACTACTTGTCTCAGCATGCATCAAGCAGTATCAAAATGAAACTTGCATCTGTGGAAATATAAATTCCTAGGGAATTTAATTTTGAAATAAAAACTAGGAACAAATTTGTGATTACTGCCACACTTTTTAGTGATTCGAAAAAATGAACTAATTATTGATGGAATTGATTTTATGTTAATGACAAAAATCATTTGACGACAAATCATTAAATGAATGAAAATTTTAAATATTTTAATATCTCATGTTAGTAATAGAAAAGAGCTGAAGTTGAATGTTAAAAAATGTTTGGAGTAATCCATCTGTACGTTGCAATATATACTTATCATATCTTTTTATAATGTTAACTGCCTTACAGCAGATCCACTTGGAATTCATTGAATCGATGAACCTCTCTCTTAGAATCAGTAATATTCTCCGTTTGAATTCATGAACATCTCTTTAGAAACCTACGAACTTCTCTTTCAGAATTCATAAAGATTCCCGCTGAATCCATGAATTTCTCTCCTTGAAGATCTTCATTAAATCTATGAAGCACTTTCTCAGAATTCATAAAGATCCCCGTTGAATCTATAAACTTCCCACTCGTAATCCATAACGATCTCCATCGAAGATTCATCATTATCTCCTACATTCATATTTCCTATTCACTTTCCTATCTCTGTAATTGAGGAAATTTTGAATGGTTTGCATAATAATATTATTCAGAGGAAGTACTACTGGATACAATGGTCATCATTTGTCCAATACATGTGTCTGTGTCTCTGTCTGTTTATATTTGCATATGTGCGTCCCTTCTCTGGAGAATGTAGTAGTAATAGTAGTAATAATAGTAGTATAAAACAGGAATCCAGAGAAAAGATCCAGCCAGCTTCTCACCGTTGAATTTATTTCACTTCACTAATTCGTCATCATTAGGGACATCGATCATCTATGATCCCTTCCCTTCCCATTTCAAATTTCACTATACAACTAACGTTTTATTATTATTATTATTATTATTATTATTATTATTATTATTATTATTATTACGTTATTATTATTATTATTATTATTA